CAAAGTGAAGGGGGTTGTGAATGACTGGTCCCAGGAACTAGTCAGTACGTCACCAGGTCAAAGCTTCAGCTTAGAAAGAGACCGTTCTGGAGAGGAGTGCAGAGAATGGCTACAGACCACTGTGCACTTAAATCGGCACGTTATGTTATGTACGTTTTATTAAGATTGCTCTTTTTAACATGCCTTTATATTCTATGTGTGTGATTTGCCTGCGTGCATGTTTGTCAAAGTGCCAGTGGAGGCCAGACAGTGACATTGGATCCCTTCACACTGGAGTTAGACAGTTCTGAGCAGCCATGTATGTGCTGGGAACTGAACCTGAGTCCTCTGGAAGAACAGTCAGTGTTCTTAACCACCTCAGAATCATACTGTATATTTAAAAACAAAAACAAACAAACAAACAAAAAAACCCTTATTTTAGCCAGGCAGTGATGGGGCACACTTTCAGGACTCAGGAGGCAGAGGCCGGGAGATCTCCAAATTGAAGGCCAGCCTTGTCTACAGAGTGAGTTCCAGGACAGCCAGGGCTACACAGAGAAATCCTGCCTCTGGGATTAAAGGCATGTGCCACCAAGCCTGGCAAAAAAAATATTAATAAGAAAATAAAATAAAAACTAAGTTTAAAAAAAGAGGGGGAAAAGCAGTACAAGACAACATTTTTAAACAGGTGATAAGGAGCCTCCACCTTGGATGGTCCCCAGCACTCTAGGAAGGCCACTTCTAGACAAGGTTATCTGACTGTGGGCTCTGCTTGTAGTTTGCAGACGTGCAGGCCTGAGTGTCCATCGTGACCCCCAGCCGTGAGAAAGAAGCCGAGGAAGGGGCAGACACAGTCAGCCCTCTTGTCTCTTTGCTGCTTACTCGACTTACAGAACCTGGAGATGGACCGAGACTGCGTACAGCAGAGCTAACCCACACAGGTCCTACCCACCACGGGGTCACAGCAGGCCCAGGAACAGGCTTCCACCTGTGTTCAAGTAGCAGTACATGTCAGATGCTCAGATTTCTCTGGAGGAGTGTCCTTCCCTCACAACTGGAGATGCGGGTTCTTCTCACCCTCACTCCTGCCCTTCCCAAAGCACCTCAGCCCGCCTGGACACAGAAGCCACGGGCACGAGAACCTTCCCAGCCCCCAGCTTCTCCTAACTGGCCCTCAGCAATGTCCGCCCAGAGCCCAGAGGCAGACCACCTCCCTCAGCCTGCCGTCTGTTCTCCACCTAGGGGTGAGAAGTGTCCTGATCTTACTTTACCTTTAAGGGTAGCCAGGGTGCTGCGGTGGAGGACTTTGCTCTTCCAAGTGCTGGTACTCAGCTCAGCTGGCAGGCCACTGACTTTGTGAGCTAGCGCCACTAATCTTTGACTGGCAGCGTAGTGACGGAGCCGCACTCTTCACGGAGATGGACAGCTGGCTCCGGGAGCAGACAGCATGGAAGAAGATTGTCGGGCCCTCCCAAGGAAGGTGATGCCACACCCCCGCCTAGAGAAAGCTCCACAGCAGACACCTTCCAAGGCAGCATAGGGAAGCCACTGTCAGAGCCCCAGGCCCTCTTCTCAATCTAGGGCCTCTGCGGAAGCAGACAGCTTGCCCACAGGGAGCCTGCTACATATGTGACCAAGCCTGGGCTGGCTCTCAGCCCCACCTGCCTCCTCATGGCTCTCAGATAGGGTGGCACCACTCTGGGTGAGTCAGCTGACAGGGACATCTCAGGGGCAGCAGCTAGTCGCAGACCCAGCGTCACCTTTGGATGGAATGGTCATGAGAACATTCACACAGGACATTCTCAGCACCATCTCTAGGGCAGAATACAGGAAAGGGAAAATCTTCACCAGTGGTAGGAGCTGCTCCAGACCTAGATCCAAGGATACCAGATAACCCCAATAGCCAGGTAGGATGCACAACAGTGTAGACCCTTGAGTAGGGATGCAGGCAGGGACTGAATATGGAAGCCAATGGGATAAAGTAGGTCCCCTCCCAAATGATCTGCAAAGTAAAACCTTGTTAAATCCATATATTACAACTTTTCCTTTGGGGGGCAGTGAGGTGGACCTGGGGCAGGGAGGGTGTGTCTTGCTGAGTAGCTCTTAATTGGCCTGGATTTACGTAGCATAGGTTGGTCTCAGACTCACAGATTTCAACCTGCCTCTGCCTCCTGAGTACTAGAATTAAGGGCCTTCGTTACCACGGGAGACTACAACTGTGACGTTAATGCCACTTTGCTCAAACACTGGGTGATATCTAGAGAGCCTTTCCAGAATACAGCATCACTTCCTGGGTTTCCCTATCTGCCCGACAGCTGTGAGACACTGTGGTGCAGACCTTGGGCCTTCACTGTGCTTACACTCACTCACACAGGTGTGCTTTGAAGCCCATCACCAAAGGTGGAAAGGTCCAGAAAGTACCAGGCTGACCCTGGGCATGGTCCTGATCTCTCCAGGTCCCCTCTCCCCAGCCCCACAGGGCATCTCCGCCGCCAGAGTTCCACCTTCTAGCCAACACATAAAAGATCACAAAGATGACTGGAGACAAGGCTGCACACACAGTGTCACTTGAGATGCACAGGAGTTTGCCAAGTAGCAATGCTGTTCTGCACTCACTGCCCCTTGGGAGGATCCTGCACTCACACACTAAGAGGCAGTGATCAGCCTGGACTGACCAGCACACTGCAAACCACTGAACACCAAGGGCTGACTGTGTAACGCCCCAGCGCAGGTATGGCCCAGAAGCCCTGGCTTTTCTGTGTCCCCTTACCTAAGCACAGGCCTGGCACCCCGCAGGCCCTACAGATGGCTCCTCCCCTTTGGCTGTCACATTGCAGCAGCATAGGGAAGAGCTGCCCTTGGACTTGAGTTCATCGGAGGCCAGGCTACCTGAAGACATGCCAAGACTCACTGCATGCATGAACACTGCGCGCCTACTGGCTACACACCTGTACTCGCCTTGAGGGAGTGGCTATAGCAGAAGCAGTAGTAACTCTGCCCCTGAAACCTCTACGACCATGACATCAACAGGTAGGATGCAGGCTAAGTGTCCAAGGAGCCTCGTCTGAAGTGGTCTCTGGTACAAGCATCCCAGCACCTTCCTCCTCAGTACTGGAGACTTGAGCAGTACATTGTCAGTCATGGAGCCAGGATGAGAAGGGACCTCCCCAAGGCTCCCAGCATGCTCAAGCAGGCTGCTGGTCCATTAAGCCATGCTCACTGGACTACAACTGTTCTTTGTATGGACACTTTATCTTCATAATCAAGAATGGAGGAGCTGGTGGGTACAAGTGTTGGCCACCAAGTCTGAGCGCCTACATCCGGCCCCCAGAACACACATGGGAGAGGGTACCAGCTCCCACAAGCTGTCTTCCAACTTACACACATGCACCATAGCACACCCTTGCACATACACACAAACCAAATAAATAAATATATAAAACTGTATTAAAAAAATACAAGACCTGCTTTTATTCTTCATAGTAACAGTTTAACTTACAGGCAAGGAATGACCACAAGAGAGCTGGACTCAGTGACGTTTACATTTTATTTACGTCGGTAGCACTAAAATACATTATGCCTTGTGGATCACATTTCCACAACACACATTAATACCAGTCCACACTCCACGGTAACTGCCCACACCACCTCCCATCAAAACCAAGCAAACACAGCAAGCACTTCATGGTCGTGCCCTCAAACCTAAGGTGACCCTGTCCCAGACTCCTAGCTATGGCAGTGCCCATAATTCACAAAACTCCCCCTTTCTACAATGCTGGGCCCAACTGCTGGCATCTCAAGCCCACCAACACTTTTTATAATGCCCTCCCTTCCAAGGAGACAAAGTCCGAGTAACAGATCCCCGTGGCCAGGAGGAAGGAACACATCCCCAAGAGGCACGTGCAGCCCAGAAGTGAGGCGGCATCAGAACTACTTGGTGCTCAGTGCAAAGGGCAGGTTAGGGGGCAGCATGCCATGGATTTGACAGGATGGTGCTTGTGAAGGAGCCAGTACTTGCAATAGGACGAACTAAGGTCAAGCTTCTTGCTTGATAGCTGATTATTCTGCATATACCTGTGTGTGCCCTGTGTTTGTGTAAGTAGCCAGTGGCATGGACCTACGAAAGCTAGAAATGGTATTGATAGGCAAAACCTTTTGACTGAAGGACAAATATTTCTCCAAGAAGATGAGATTTCCCAAAAACTAAACTATATTTGGTGTCAATTCTGACATCTGGAGAAGATTAAGAATTGAACAATAAATATAA